AACCCCGGCAATCATAATTACCCCGGACATATTTTAAATATCCCCTCGAACGGTATCCGGGGAAAAGAGGACGGTGTCCAGGGAAAAGAGAACGGATGGCAAGCCTATATATAGAAAATGATGGTACGCGGTGCGAAGGAGGGTAGGATCGCGAGAGTGAGGGTGAGCCATGTTGGACGATGCGTGAAGAGGGGCCGCGACGGGATCGCGAAATCAATAGCTGACGGTGCGCCCGGCGAAGGGAGATCACGAGAGTGGAGATGGCACGTGGCACGATTGGCGGGAACGCGAGAGCGGTAGGAGCGCACTTCTGTCTCTCTTTCTTATTCATGGGGATTTAAATATTATATTGTCGTTCGCTAGGCAGGACCTATTGGGGTCGGAGAAAGGGAGGGATATTGTTACAAATTTTGTGTAATATAAGGTATAATGCAGTAAACAATACACTAATCAATATATATATCAGGATACACGTATATACATTAAACCGTGTAGTGGATATAACATCATGAATAAAATCCAGTCTGGAATTTTATCGCAAATTAAGGATTGCACAATTTGATTAAAATATTTTCATTTTTCGACTCACCCTATTGTATATATGTATGTTACGTGTAATATAACTTCTCAACTTGTTTTGCTTGCAATTTTTTATATGCAGTGTGGACTTTATTACGTGGATAGAGAGGATCTAGAATGCCAACGTATAGTAAAGAGAGAGTATGTATATTACGAGATGTATTTATTGCGAAATCTTCTTTTGACGATCTTCGTTCAGTATTCAGAGAGAGAAGGCCTCGTTTCCCCGAAAGTCAGAATTTTTATATGTGAGTTTCTCACATATGCTCTACTCTTAAACAATCCAATTAGAATCGTTTAACAATTCAAAGCAGAGGCGGATGTCTCGTCGTTTCTCCTACGAAAGAGCTATCGATTTTCACAAACTCAAAATAAATAATAACAGAAGTGAAAGATTACACAGATAAGTCGAATAACAGTATTATCGGCTAACGGCTTTCTCTCTGACAAAATATATAAAAATATATCTACAACTCGGCCATTCTGACGTTTGACCGATCCGATCAATCATTTTAACGTTCGTCTAAAATTAAATTAAGCTAAAATTAACGCTCGTCAATATAAAGATAAAAAATAAAATACAATTTTTGCGAGAATTAAACATATATATATAAGCACGCATTTAGTCCGACGCATGGTCCAAAATTCTCGCTTTTTTCCTCTTGTTTCCAGTCAATATCTTTCCATTGCGAATACCTATATATATAGTCGCCGACATTATATTTGCGCGCAGCTTTTCGCTTTGAATTACAAATAATACGCGAATCACATTCAATATGGACGTAGGGTCAGACACGTATGCGTAGTTACGCATCATATTTTTTGAAAAATCATACGCATACACTTACATTTACACTGACATTTTTACACACGCTTACACTTACATGGAATTACTTTTAAATCTGAAGAAGAGTGAAATATCAATTCTGTTGAATATCAATTAACCCGTTGATGGCCAAAAGTTGCAACGCAACTTAAGAAAGCGTGAAGAAGAAGAAGTTCGGGTCGAATACAAAGCGTATATACTATTATATTGATGCGAATAATGTCGAACGAAGAATAATACCGAGTCCTTTCCTTATGAAATAAAAACGTATTACTCTCGCGAACAACGACGAAAAATAGTTCTTTGAAATTCAATGAATACGTAGGTCGAATAATTAAAATATGCAATGTAATATACGTGCCAGGGAAAAAGAGTGAAGAAGAAGACAAATAATACGCGTAGCTGACAACATTCTGCGTCTTTACTTCGAACATTATTAATTTTCTCGCATGTTGCCTTTTGAAAGAATTTCACTATATCGGAATCATATTATTCTATTGACTCGCTCGACTTGTCCGCTTGATCTTACATCGCAGTGCAGCTCTGTTTCTGCTTTCGATAAATAAATTGCAGGCACGTGTTTATTAAACAATCGTCGCTTTAGCGTCTCAAATACAGAATCTTCGCCAGATCTGAAGGTCGCGCTTTTCTTTATTATTTCGTACAATGATATTACTAGCACAAAGAAATTCGGAATAAGTTGCCGAAAATAACTCGCAAACCCGACGAATTTTTGCATCACTCTCGCATTTTGCGGTATCGAATATAATCAATGACAGCTTCAATATCTTCGTTTATTGTTTCGGCTGGAAAACCATCGCGTGTCATGATTTTATTTAATTCACTATCATCTACGCATAATTGACAACTACCGGTCTCTTGCCCCGCCAGGACGATCGGATACAATAAGTCATTACTCGGACGAATGATCGCTCCTTCCAGCAGGTCATCTCGGACATCGCGTAAAATTTCTTTGTCCGCAAATAAAAGCCCACGCGGACGCAAACTTGCCGGTTGCTTACAATCGAGCACGGTAACAATTTCGAAATTGGATGCGGGTTTTGCCTCCTACAGATAATTCCGAGATACACCTCGCAAACTTGAGCGCAGACACATTCGCACCGACCGCTGTGAATTAATTTTTAACTCGTCACATAAATAAGCCGAATTATCTCTACAATCGATGTGCATCAACGAATTATTTGCGCACGCTTTCTCGACAATATTTCCATCGTTTGCCCGAAAATTACGCATAGCGGCGGAAAACTAAAAAATATCTTCCTGAAAGAGCGTCAAATGCCATTGTATTGCTCAGAATACCACGTAAAAATTCATTGTGTGTGTGCGTGTGCGTGTGCGTGAGTGTGGGTGTGGGTGTGGATGTAAGAACAAAATTATGAAATTTATTAATAATATATACATATTATCAAGTCTTGTGTTTATTCTCATTAGGTCAAAAAAATTATATTTCTTGCAAGAATTATTATATTTTTAAAAAATTTATTTTATATGTTAGACCTTAAAATTTTATTATTTTGATGTATTCGTTACTTGAGTAACAATGTATCGTAGTCGTCAGTAAGAATTAAATTAAAATTCATTAAATTCATAAAAAAACGATCAAGATTACGATACTAGACTAAAAATTTTTTTATTTATTTAATTCATGACGTTTCGACCTGTGTTTTAGGTCTTTATCAAATGATTCTGAAATTATAAATACAATAAAAGCAATTACATCAATCATACGAGAACAGTCAAAATAGATAAGCAAAAAAGAAAAAGTAACATTAAAAACTTACAATTTTTAAGATGACAATATAATTAAAGTAGTGTTAATTCCTAAGAACATATCTATCATTATATATTAAAACTTATGTCTCTTAAAACATCTCGTAAGCAATTCGTCAATACAATATAAATTTTTAAACGATTCTAATGACCTTATCATAAATAATGTTTAGGTTGCCATGTCTATGTTTACTTATAACTAACAATAAGTGATTACTCTCATGCAATTTTATATTATTATTGTGTTCTTTAATCCGAGTATTTAAATGTTTTTTGTTTGTCCCATATATGAGAAATCACAAAAAAACTGAAGTGGTATATCAAATTAAATGTAAATGGAAATAGTATATTAAATAAAATGAAAAAAGCTGAAATAGTATATCAAATTAAATGTAAAAATTGTGATTTCTCATATATAAAATAAATAAAAAGACATTTAAATACTCGGATTACAGAATATAAAAATAATATAAAATTGCATGAGAGTAATCACTCATTTATAAGTAAACATGAGAGTGGATTTTAAACATGAATTTGACTGAGAAAATTCAAATATTTTACATAACGAGAGACATACAAAAAAGAGAGTTAGCTGAAATGTTATTTATAAAAAAGAATTGTAAGTTTTTAATGTTACTTTTTCTTTTTTGCTTACCTGTTTTTATTGTTCTCGTATTATTGATGTAATTGCTTTTGTTGTATTTATAATTTCAAAATCATTTGATAAAACACAGGTCGAAACGTCATGACTACTCAGTCTCCAATAATTCGTCTAAGAATCTTGACGTGTTGTCAAACCGACACTATGTTCGTTCTTGACATCTTAAAATTATAATTTTATTTTTATTTTTACAAATTACTTGATAAGGACTCAAAAAAGGGTCGAAACGTTGTGATTGAATAAATAATATTTGCCAGTACGGTCGAGAGAAGATTCTTACCTTTTTTATATTTGTTCGAAAATCGAACGTCTAACGCAAAAAAAAAAAAAAAAAAAAAAAACTTAAAACATTATTGCGTTAAAACTCATGCAATCATTTCGTTCACATGCAACATGCCTCATACGTCACCTTATATTAATATTAATTCAAATAGCGCTCGGCCGCACAGGTATACGTATACCCCGCGCCTGCAAAAAGGAAGCGCTTACGTCAAATCACCGATAATGGTAAACACCGCGGTCGCGCTAGAGGAGATACAATTTAGTCCCGATAACAACAAAATATGACTTGCTAAAGATAAATAATTATCGCAAACGTACTTTCGCCCTTAACATCTCGATCGAACAAGGGAAAATGTTCGCGAAGGTTCTCGAAATCCGGGCCTATATAAACCTCCTCTCTCGTGACCGCGGGGCTCTTTCCGATTGCTCGTCGCGAATAGAGTGTGCTTTTACTTTCCGAAAAAGATCGCTTGTCTTTTTCGGTTTTCTCGTCTAATTACCGTTGCTTGCGGAACAGTCAGTAATTTATTTTCGACCCGGCTTTTCTCTCGTTTATTGCATTCATTTCTAATACATTCGACTCGGCTATCTTTCGGCAAATTCAGTGCGGAATATTAATTGTAATTTTTGTTAAAAGTTTATATAAATATATTCTTTTTTGTGAACGTTACGCGTGTGTCGAGTGTTGTGTCTATCTCTCAGTCTCGCTTCCGACCACGTCCTATCCATCTTTCCGTCGCGCACATTTTTGGTCCTTCGAGCCGGATTCCTCAGGAACCTCCCTTGAATCCGGTGCCACGGAAGCGATAGTGAATCAGTGTCGGTGACCAGTGCTCCTAGAAAAGAGAAACAGTTTTAGACATGACAGACACTAAGGCAATCATTGCCACAGCCACAGTGCTATACGGCAAAATCTCGCGCGCGTACGAGAACCTTCGGAAGCTCGGCGAGGCCAATATCACCCTCGGCGCGGTGGAGGCCCGGCTTCAAAACCTCGAGAAGCTGTGGGAGAAATTTGACACAATTAACGACACTTTAGCCGATCGTGTGGACGAAATACGGCATGAGGTGTACGCCAAACAAGATATCCCTTCGTTGGGCGAGGAGGCTTACCTGCAGAACAAGGGCCTCATGCTCGATCTGAAGAGCGCTCTCCAACGACAAGAGCATACATCCAGACCAAGTTCGGCAGCGACACCGGCCGCCGCTCCTCGGACCGCATTGCCTAAGATTCAACCGCCGACCTTCACCGGGAAGTACGAAGACTGGCCTTCGTTCCGAGACCTCTTCCAGTCCATCATTGGCAGGAACCAGGCAGCCAGACCTGTTGAGAAATTACATTATCTCAAACTCTGTGTCAAGGGTGATGCGGAGTTACTGATACGCAACCTGAACACTACGGAGGAAAACTACGAAATCGCTTGGAAGACGCTAAGCGATTTTTACGAGAACGCAAGGCTGTTAACCCGAAACTACCTCAACAACTTCCTGGCGCTTCCTAAGATGAAGAGCGAATCCGCAGTGGAACTGGGGCGACTCTTTCACGGCGTAAAAACCACAGTCAGCTCGCTGAAGAGTATCGATCGTCCCATCGATCGCACGGAGGACCTCTTTGTGCATCTGGTCGTCGAGCTCCTCGACAATCGTTCTCGTCGGGAATGGGAGAGCGTCATCAGTCACACGACCAACCCGCCTACTTACGCCGAGCTGGAAGCCTTCATCGAGCGACGGCTTCATACTTTGGAGGCACTGTTTCCAGCCAAGAACGACAGCCGCAACCTTAGCAGTGCAAAAACAACTCGGAGCCATCACGTGAAGAAAGCTGAAACGAAGGATAGATCCAGAAGTCGGTGCGCCGATTGCCAGGGCGACCACTTCATAATGTTTTGTGGCAAATTCAAGGAGAAGACGGCTACGGCCCGCAGGCAGTTTGTCAACGATCAAAATCTCTGCTCAAACTGCCTGGGTCGACACCAGCTTTCGGAATGCTCATCAAAAAAGACTTGCACGACGTGCGGCAGTCGGCATCACTCCTCGCTGCACGACGCCTTCTGCAACGCCAAGACCGCCACAACGTCACACTTAGCGCAAGGATCTCATCCGGCCTCTGTCACGGTGTTGCTCGCCACAGCTCGCGTCCGCGTCCTCGATGGCCACGGATCCTGGCATTCCGCCCGAGCGCTGATCGACCAGGGCTCAGAGTCTTCCATCATATCGGAGCGATTGGTTCAGCGACTGCGACTGCCTCGCATGCCCGCCGCCGTCAGCGTTTATGGACTCGGCGAGAAAAAAACGGGAGTTGCAAAGGGTAAGGTTCAGCTTACTTTTAGAGCGCACAACGGCGACCAGTCCAACTCCGTCGCCGCCTTGATCCTGCCGAAGCTCACTCTCTTCGCCGGAGGATGCCGCCAAAGTCTGCAGTCCTGGACCCATCTTAAGGACCTGGAGCTCGCCGATCCAGAATTCCGTTCCGCGGATCCAGTAGATCTTCTGCTGGGCGCCGACGTCTACGGAGTAATCATCCGCGAGGGCCTAAAAAAGGGGAGTCATCAGGAACCAGTGGCACAGCAGACCTCACTAGGATGGATACTCTCAGGCACCATCAATGAGAATGCACGCGGCCATCGTGTTGCAACTCACCATTGCCAAATCGAGGAGGACATCACCTGCTTGGTTCGGCGGTTCTGGGAGCAGGAGGAAGTTCGTAGGCCATCTCCGATCCTCACCAAGGCCGAACTGGAGTGCGAAGAGCACTATCGCCGACATCATACTCGCTCTCCAGACGGCCGGTATATCGTGCGCCTGCCCACTATTGACTCTCTGCCGGACCTCTCAGGAACAATCCGCGCTGCCCGCCGAGCGCTGCAACACACAGAGAAAAAGTTTGAGAGAGACAGCGAATTTCAAGGTATGTACGTGGAATTCATGCGGCAATATTTGAACCTGCGACACATGAGGCCTGCTCCGTCGTCAACTGAATCGCATCCGGGGGCTTGCTACCTGCCTCATCACGGGGTATTGCGTCCGGACAGCTCATCAACCAAACTGAGGGTCGTCTTCAACGGCTCGAGCTCCTTGCCGAACGGAGACTCCCTCAATAGATATTTAGCAACTGGTCCGAATCTACTGCCTTCGCTAGCCGACATCCTGCTGCGCTGGCGACGTCATCGCTACGTCTTCGCGACTGACATCGAAAAGATGTATAGGCAGATACTGGTGCACCCCGACGATCAAAACCTGCAAAGGATATTGTGGAGAGGGAACGCCAAGGACGAAATCAAGGAGTACTGGCTAAGTACCGTTACTTACGGTCTATCCTGTGCTCCTTATCTAGCGATCCGCACTTTACGACAACTAGCCGAGGACGAAGGACATCGCTACCCGAAAGGAGCCCTCATCCTGCTGAGCGACGTCTACATGGACGACATCCTGGCCGGTGCGGAGACCATGGAGGAAGCCGAAGTAATGCTGCAACAGCTGACTGAGATCTGCAGGGCGGGCGGCTTCTCACTTAAAAAGTGGTCGGCAAACCACTCGCTCCTGCTGAACGCAGTGGAGCCCGACGACCGTCTTCGACGAGAGGCCAGATGGTGGCTGCCCGGCGAGAGTCACTCCACTCTCGGTTTACGCTGGCAACCACGTGACGATCGCTTCGCTTTCGCAACCAAACTGACCACGCTGTCGACCTTCACCAAAAGGTCGGTATTATCTTTGACGGCGAAAATGTTCGACCCTCTCGGCTGGCTGGCCCCAACAACGGTATTAGCCAAGATCTTCATCCAGTCCACCTGGTTGCTAGGTCTTGATTGGGACGCTCCGCTACCCAGCGACGACGAGAGAAGATGGCTGCGATTCCAGAACGAGCTGCCTGCTTTGGAAAACGTGCTCGTACCTCGATGGCTGGGAGGTTTGACTGATTCACAGCTGGAAATCCACGGGTTCGCCGATGCCTCAGAGCGTGCCTACTCAGCGGTGCTATACCTGAGGACAGAAACAAAGGGTCTTATTAAGGTGGCACTCTTAGCTGCAAAAACTAAGGTCGCGCCCTTGAAGCAAGTATCACTACCTCGGTTGGAGCTGTCGGCCGCCACTCTTCTGGCTCGTCTAGTCGCCCACACCGTACCGATCATCGGAGCAGCCAAGGCACCTCTTCACATGTGGTCTGATTCCACCGTCACGCTTGGTTGGATCCGTGGGCATCCCTCGATGTGGGCCACCTATGTAGCTAATCGAGTCAGCGAGATCCAGATGCTGATCCCGGACGCCCACTGGCATCACGTACCAGGTCGGGAGAACCCAGCAGACTGTGCTTCCCGGGGACTCTACCCTAGCGAACTGGTTGACCACCCGCTCTGGTGGCAAGGTCCCGCATGGCTGACAGAGGAGAGCGGTACTTGGACGACGAATAGCGAGGCGATGCCAGCGGAGGACCTCCCAGAGAGACGAGTCCGGACCCACATCGCCGCCGTTACCGAGCTGAAGCCCGAATCGGAGTTACTGCTGCGCTACTCCTCGCTGAAGCGACTGCTACGGATCTCGGCTTGGTGCCGCCGCTGGTTGCTGATTCACCGCCAGCACCGCCATGCGCAAGGCCAGCCTAGCGTGATCAGCTCCGACGAACTGACGGAGACCCGCATCTCCTGGGTAAGGTTGATCCAATCTAAAACCTTTACAGAAGACATTAGAAAGCTGCAAAATGGAGCGGCTCTGCCGTCGCGAAGCTCCCTACAGAAACTGAACCCATTCCTGGACAGCGAGGGACTTCTACGAGTCGGCGGGCGCCTCAGACACGCAAACCTACCGTACGACGCAACTCACCCGCCAATACTGCCCAGCGAGTCGGCTTTCACTCTCCTCGTCGTAGATGATCACCACCAGCGAACTTTACACGGCGGTACTCAGATGACCTTGTGCTCCCTGCGCCGGGAGTATTGGGTCCCTCGAGGTCGGTCGTTGGTGAAGAAACACATCAGCCGATGTGTAAGGTGCACAAGATGGCGAGCCGCCATCCCACAGCCTCTCATGGGCGATCTCCCGGGGCCAAGGGTCACACCAAGCAGGCCATTTCTGCACACCGGCGTCGACTACGCCGGTCCGGTTTGGCTGAGGACCTCGAAGGGCCGCGGACACAAAGCTACTAAAGGGTTCATTGTGGTTTTTGTATGTTTAGCCTCCCGAGCCGTTCACCTCGACGTAGCCTCGGACTACTCCGCCGACGCCTTTATCGCAGCCTTGCGCCGGCTCATCTCAAGGCGAGGGGTCTGCATCAGCTTATACAGCGACTGCGGTACCAACTTCGTGGGTGCTGACAGGCAGCTAAACTCTCTCTTCTCCGCCGCCAGTGCCGACGGACGCCGCATCGCCTCATTCGCCGCACAGGAGAAGATCCAGTGGCATTTCAACCCACCGGCGGCACCGAACTTCGGCGGCTTGTGGGAAGCCGCGGTTAAATCGATGAAGCACCATCTGCGACGAGTCATCGGTGATGCGACCCTCACCTACGAGGAGCTGGCTACGCTCCTCTCGCAGATAGAGGCTTGCCTCAATTCACGACCGCTGCAGTCCTTGTCCGATGATCCTGAGGACGTCGCAGCTCTCACACCGGGGCACTTCTTGATCGGTTCCGCTCTCTCCGCAGTACCGGAGCCGTCGCTCGAACGAGAGCCGTCGACCCGACTATCACGCTGGCAGCTCCTGCAACAGATGAGGGACCATTTCTGGTCTCGGTGGTCCAGCGAATACTTACATACGCTGGCCCATCGGCCAAAATGGTCCCAAGTCAACCAGGAGGCTCACGTCGGGCGTCTGTGTCTACTCCGCAGCGAAACCACCCCACCAACGCGGTGGCCGCTCGCGCGCATCACTCGGCTGCATCCCGGATCCGACGGCCACGTGCGCGTCGTCGATATACGTACCGCGAGTACGAGTTTAACGCGCCCCGTCAGTAAACTTGTGTTCCTGGGCGGCGACCACGAAACTTTACGATAATCCGGCGTAAAGCGGCTCATATAATTCTGTTCTTCTTTTCCACAGATCTTCATCGCTCTTCTCTCATCAATTGCACGCCCACTTTCACTTCACCAACATACTATCACATCACTACCTTCTGTTCATTACGACACCATTCTCACCACCAAAATAGTCGCCTCATCCTAAATTACAATAGACTAATTTATCTAAATTGCTCGGTCTTCGCGACACAAGAGCCGACACGCGTCTATACTGCTACGCAAGAAATAAACAGCTGACCGATTCAGCATTCCTTTCGCGACCTAAGCCGGAGCACGTGAACTCCTCGTGTCCGGAACCCGCGAGCGCGTGAACAAGCGCGCGCCCCCTCTATCGCACTACTCAGTGGATTGCAGGTATACTGCAAGGCGGGCGGAATGTTCGAAAATCGAACGTCTAACGCAAAAAAAAAAAAAAAAAAAAAAAAAAAAAAAAACATTATTGCGTTAAAACTCATGCAATCATTTCGTTCACATGCAACATGCCTCATACGTCACCTTATATTAATATTAATTCAAATAGCGCTCGGCCGCACAGGTATACGTATACCCGCGCCTGCAAAAAGGAAGCGCTTACGTCAAATCACCGATAATGGTAAACACCGCGGTCGCGCTAGAGGAGATACAATTTAGTCCCGATAACAACAAAATATGACTTGCTAAAAGGTAAATAATTATCGCAAACGTACTTTCGCCCTTAACATCTCGATCGAACAAGGGAAAATGTTCGCGAAGGTTCTCGAAATCCGGGCTATATAAACCTCCTCTCTCGTGACCGCGGGGCTCTTCCGATTGCTCGTCGCGAATAGAGTGTGCTTTTACTTTCCGAAAAAGATCGCTTGTCTTTTTCGGTTTCTCGTCTAATTACCGTTGCTTGCGGAACAGTCAGTAATTTATTTTCGACCCGGCTTTTCTCTCGTTTATTGCATTCATTTATAATACATTCGACTCGGCTATCTTTCGGCAAATTCAGTGCGG